CCTGGGGTTCTTTAACGAGCACCTCAATCTAAGGACATGCGCCTCAAGCATTTTCGCCCCCATCGAAAATGCGGCCGCCGCGGCTGGGATTTGACAACGCGACCTGCGGGCCAGCACCCGAGTGCCTTAACTACCTGACCACCGTGGCGGGCGAAGAACAATAGAGAAGGCAGGGAGGTTAACCAGGCAGATGCCCGGTTTGCTACCCTACGCTGTCGAATCGGGAAAGGGGAAAATAAAGATGATAGATATGGGAAAGAGAGCGGACAAAAACACGTTGTGTCCTCTTGTATGGACAGTGGACACGGCGCCTAAAGGGGATTCAAACTACAGTATTAGCTTGCCTTACGACGTCAATCTTGCTGATACGGCACAATAACCAACAATAGACGTCTCGAGAACTCCATATAGTGAAAGCTTAAGTACTTGCCGACAAGTGTTCTTATCAATTTAATTATATTTGCCAGCCTGCTGATGGCTAGCCAGTCGCATGAGCAAGCTTATCGAATCTCAGCGCAGAAAAACACTGGGACTGCGTTCGCCAAGTTCGTGCTATCATGGACCTACCATACGTGCAACGATACTGCCGCTGTTTCCGGTCCTGCGTGTGAGTGTTTCTCGGCCGTCCCTATTGTGGTGACTCGTTTGATGAGACCAAGGCCGGTTAACATTAAACATCCGCTTTAATAAACATCCGGTGATTCTGACTATGTTCAAACAGCTGCGTCACTGAATCACAACATTGAAATACGAAAAATGAATACAACACTTCACGAATAGAGTTGGGATGTCATCATCATCATCATCATCATCATCATCATCATCATCAGCTTGACTACGTCCACTGCAGGACAAAGGCCTCTCCCATGTTCCGCCAGTTAACCCGGTCCTGTGCCTGCTGCAGCCAATTTATACCCTTAAGTTACCCTTAACGACCAGCGGTTATCCTGTCTACGCGCTACATGCCCGGCCCATGTCCATTTCTTCTTCTTGATTTCAGCTATGATATCCTTAACCCCCGTTTCTTCCCTAATCCACTCTGCTCTCTTCTTGTCTCTTAAGGTTACACCTACCATTTTTCTTTCCATTGCTCGCTGCGTCGTCCTCAATTTAAGCTGAACCTTCTTTGTAAGTCTCCAGGTTTCTACTCCGTAGCTAAGTACCGGCAAGATACAGCTGTTATATACCTTTCTCTTGAGGGATAGTGGCAATCTACCTGTCAATATTTGAGTGTGCTTGTCAAATGTGCTCCACCCCATTCTTATTCTTCTAGTCCCTTCAATCTCGTGGTTCGGCTCCGCAGTTATTACCTGCCCTAAGTAGACATAGTCTTTTACAACTTGAAGTGCACTATTACCTATCTCGAAGCGCTGCTCTTTTCCGAGGTTGTTGTACATTACTTTCGTTTTCTGCAACTTCATTTTAAGACCCACCTTTCTGCTCTCCTTGTCTAACTCCGTAATCATGAGTTGCAAATCGTCCCCTGAGTTACTCAGCAATGCAATGTCATCGTCGAAGCGCAGGTTACTAAGGTACTCTCCATTAACTCTTATCCCTAACTGTTCCCATTCTAGGCTTCTGAAAACCTCCTGTAAGCACGCGGTAAATAGCATTGGGGAGATTGTGTCCCCCTGCCTTACACCCCTTGGGATGTCATATTTATCTAATTATGTAAGAATCAGAAACTCCTCTTGTTGTATCGTGAAAGTAGCCCGATTGTTCTAGTTATCTGTACTCATTGTGGCCTTTCTTACTCTGGTGGAATACTTATAGTAAGTCGTCAGAATTTTGGCGCGCTATTTTCCCGAACCACGTAGGTTCCTGGTGACTAAAATGTATGGAATGGGCGGCCGCGAGATGCCGTTTGGAGGTAGAAGAGGACAATGACGATCGCGGGTGCGCTCAGTGGCATGCGGCAGACACTGGCTGCGGGCAGTTGCAGCCGAGGCTTAGAGAAATAAACAAGGATCCCGGTCTGGCACCGCGTCTTCTCTGCGTGGTTCTGGGCCGAGAAGCCCCTACAAACGCTATCGATTGCCTCAAAAATAAATGAACGAATCACATGTAACGAATGGTTTCATAAAATTAACAAATTGGTTGGTGTATTTTATTAAAGTTTTTGTAAGTGACGATTTTTTTTGCAGGGATTCTCATTGTGTCATCGCAATGACTTGATAGCTTGAAAATTCTGCGGCTCAAAATGTTCCCTAATCGCTTTTCTCAATAAATATAGAATGACACAGTTTAGCAGTTTACTCTCTGATAAATCAATTACAGCAATGTTTCCGGACTCCATAGTCCGCTGACGTTATAGAGTTGCTGAACACGATTCACAACAGAAGAATTGCGCTTCATAGCGCATGATCAAGCTTATGGCGTGCGCTGACGTAACTTTCGTCGCCCTGCATCATCTCTCGCCGTGTATACAGCCAATACACTCGTCGGGACGAGAGAGGAGAGAAACCGCTTGACGCATGTAACTGCGCTCGTTCTCGACGAATTCGAGAAGTTTTTGCAGCAATCTATTTGTAAGGCATAAATTCTGTGGCTGATGATGTTCGATCGTTACTTGGAAAATAGATTCAGGACTCCTTCAAGACTTCCTTTTTACAACTTGAGTGTTGACGACTAGTTTTCAAGAACACATCGAGCACTGACTTATGCGCTTT